CATTTTTAAGCAAATACTTCACAGGTTTATTGCATTGCCTTTGCTGGCAATATTCGCCAACTCTAAATCACCTGCTTGGGCAAATGGGATTTAATACCGAAATTTTAGGTAACAGACAAAAAAGCAACTGGGTGCTTAAACAATGCTTTTCAGCATTACCTTGAATTACAATGTACTATATTTAGAGTCAATTTAACTGACTCTTTATGTAGAGGTATTTAGTAATTAACAAGCCATTAAAAATGTGAAATACAAAATCCAATCTAATAGACAGGAACGCCACTTACCTCCATAAGAAAAACGCCATAACGATGAGTACAATGCCGAAACAGCTGAAGATGATGCCAACCAAAACAGCCAAATTATAGTCATTGTGCGATTGACGTAACAGCGGTTGAATCTTTTCACAATTGGGATGTAGAGAAATCTATTAAAGGGTAAAAAGAAAAGAAATTATCAGAATTCATATATTTCAGTAGAGCCAATTAAAGATTTCGCGTTTCGTAATTTGGCAATAATATGCCTTGAAACGTAATTGTTTCGAATTATTTGCAGTCATTTTGAAGGGAAAATTTGGAAGCTTTAAAATTATGTTTATTTTCCAAAGATTTAATAACGTTTGGACTGAAAAAATACAACTCCTAAGTAATTAAACGAAACTAACTCCAGTGGTATTACTGAACAACGGCNACTTAGGTTTTGTGACAAATAGCAGAACTGCACCGCCATCGGATTGGTAACAACTAAGTATATGTCGATTTGCCATAGAAATATATGGTTACTTATTAATCTAATCGGCTATATAACCCAAAACATGAAATTTTGAGCTGTGCAGTTAATGAAAAGCTTCATTTGTTGAGTTGAGTTTAGGTGAGTTGAGGGGAGATGAGTTAAGGTCAGTTTTATCTTTACCTTTGGCTCTTTATCTTCATCTTTATTTTTGTCTTTATCTTCATATTTATCTGTTTTTTCATGCTTATTTTTTTCTTAGTCTTTGTCTTAATCTCTATTTTCTCTTTTGTCTTAGTCGTCAACTTTGTCTTTGTTTTCGTCTTTGCCTTTATTTTTGCCTTTCTATTCATCTTTGTATTTGTCTTTGGCTTTGTTTTTGCATGTGAATTCGTGTTTGCATCAATCCTAATTTTATTCTTTATCTTGACTTTAATATTAAACTGAATTTTCATTTTCATCGCCATATTCCTCTTCAACCTTCATAATCGTATTCATCTTGCTCTTCTTCTTCATCTTCATCTTTCAATTTTTTCTTTTTTTTTACCTTCATCTTTCTCTTGATCTCTATCTTCTGCAACAGTCGATTGTACTCGCATAGTTACTGACATCGCTGAAGAAGCAATAAAAGTTAAACGCTGAAAAATTATGTTTACTATTTACTGTTACTTTACGTAGAGCCTTATTCATAAAAAATAAAGTAGCTTTAAAAAGGGTTTATAAATTGAAAGATGTATGGAAACTTTTATTTATAAAGCTCTTTAAACCTACTTTATTTTTTATGAATAAGGCCATTACTCTTTAAACCGAACAATGCAACATTTTTGGTAAACTTATTTTATGTTGAAAATATTTTGTAGTCTAATTTCATCCCCATCACCATGGTTGGTCCCTAAAAATTTCATACTTTTTGACTTTAACCAGAATTTTAGTTTTTAAATTACCTTGGCTGTTTTTGGCCAATCATTAAAAAACAAGTTTTCAAAAGGAGTTCCAAACCAATGCGCTACTTTGTCTTTGCTTTTTCACCTTAAAATTATCTAAAATTTCATAGCCAAACCAATAAATTATTAAAACGCTTTTCTTCAAAAACAACTGTTATTCTTTCCTCAAAATGAATACAAATGACCAAAGGATGATCCCGATAATTTACTGTAATCACCTTTTTGAGTACGTCGTGAGCTCTACCACTATCGCATAGCATTTGAAAATAGAGCTATAAAAGCAATTATGTATGTACATATGTATGTTAAGTTATATATCGCACCAATCTAACTAAAACTCATAATGACGGAAATCCTGAAATATGACAAAAATTACTGGAGATGCAGCTTGCACACCAAGTACTCAGAATATCAGTTGCAACTCGGCTGTTTATGTACAATGTGTATTCATTTAAAACCCTTGAGGTGGTATTAAGCGGCTGGCAATGTCAACAAAAAATACCCACAACTACCGCAAATATGATTCCATGCGCATAGTCATCAAACAACAAACAACCAAGGACTCAAATGAGAATTAGGTATATTTACTGAAATAAAAGAATTGCGCATAAATAAATGGCTATAAGCGGCCAAGAGCAGACGACGTGTAAAACAAGCGAGTTACCTTTTTCACGTCGAAGGTTGAGGTGAAACGGAAGCGCAGCACGGCAACGGAAGGCTGCTATGACCGGAAATGGTAAAGATTTATGAGAAGGTTGCCAGCGAAATAGTGGTAAAAAACCGCATAAATAAAAAAAAAACCACAACAACAAAGAAATAACACACAGAACGAATTCGCGCTATTAGCGGCGAAGAAAGAGCGCATCTGCCTGCCTAGAAGCATCATTAAGGTATATTATGCTGCTCTGCTTTTTAAAGGAGCATGTTGTGGTTTCTACATGTTTCCGGCAGACTTGGCACCAGCGGCAATTGCATAGCAAAACAAACAACTAACATGCGACTAGCGCCACAACTACCCAGCCAGAGATCAGCCACTCAACTGAGTAAAGCAGCCAGTCAGGAAACGCTTGAAACGGCTTGAACAGCAGCTAAAACTATGGCAACTATGTAAGGAGCGAATGTAGGCGGTTACCGGTTGCGAGCTGATGTTTTGCGCAAACTAAAAATAAATACGTAACAGCAGCGCCTAGCAAATGACGTGATATACAAATGGGCAATAAAACAAGCAATACAAACTGCTAAGGACAATAGAGGTGACGCAACTCGGTCCGCACACGACCCCAACTGTACCCTCACTGGCAGCAATAATGCTAAAACAACGGCAACACAAATTTATAAATTTTGTAAAAATGGCAAAAACAGACGCTTGCGTCAGGTATGCTGAAGGATTATGATGAACTTTTAGACGAAAAAACGAAAGGCGAAAAAAAAAACAAAACTAAAAACAGAAAAATAACCAACAAATATTTGGTACGTTTTCCAAGTAGTGGGCGACCCAACTGTGGCGCTGCTAACAGGATATGAAAACAGCACCACGGGACGGCTATATGTATGTAACTGTATGTAAAAGTGTGTGTGCGGTTGTGTGCACGTGCGGAAAGTAATATAGTTATGGCAACCACTATATGCAGGTGGGCTAAAATATGAAAATGTGAAAAATGTGGAAAATTACGCTTCAAAATATATTGCATGTTATATGTCAGCAGCAGCAGTGATGCGTTGTGGTGTAAGACAAGTTTTTTAAAGCCACAAAAACAACTACTTATATTAAAATTGAAAACAAAATAAAAATGCGGTCGAAAGAAGAAATTTTATACTTTTATGCGCAAGTGTGGGTATTTTTATGTGTGTAGATATGTGGTTGTGCAGTTCGTGTATTCGAAAGGTTATAAAATGCACCACTACATATGCAAGAGTTAGAGCTTGTCAGCAAGGTTCACAAGTTAAAACGACCAACAGCAGAACGATTTGTTGGTGGCATTTTTAAAAAACAAAAATAATCATGTTGAAGTAAGTACTTAGTTAAGTATGGAGCATTAAGATGCAACCCAGCAATAATTTGAATCAGTGGTGTGGAAATTTATATTAACTAATTACGCAAGACCCCGTAAAATATAAAACTAATTCCTGAAATTTTCCACAATTAAAAAAAAGTCCCGAAAAGTAAAACATTAATTTTTCTGGACTAAATACTGAATATAAAAAAAAGCATAAAAGTGAACAAACGAAGGTTACTTAAAATTTTTTGTTTCCGAAATGCCGAATAGAAAAGTGGGAAAAATCACAAAAATCATGAAAAAGTCCCGGAAGGTCCGAAACACATAGTCCCAGAATTCCGTAAGGTTCCCAAAAATCGCAGTAGGATTTCGAAAGAACTCGAAAAATATAACACCAAGATTCTCAAAAGTTCCCAAAGTTATAACAAAAATCCCGAAAGTAAAACACGTGAAATCCCGAAAAGTTTCGAAATATTCTGAAAATCACGACAGCAAGAAGCAAAAAGCACCTATTAGCATCTCCTAAATAGTACTTCAATTCTATAGATTTTAATATTTAGCAATTTCACCGTTAAGTTAGATTAGTTGTCCCCCGAGAGTACCCTCTTTGAGTGTGTATCCGGAGAAGACACATTGCCCTAAACTAGGGATACGAGTAAATACAAGTAGATACTCGATACTTTTTGTTCGATAGCAACTAATTTTGGTATCGCTAATTTTAAACCAAGTACTGAGTAGGTATCAAAAAAAAAATACTCGTAGCGAAACCCGATACTAAGGCAAATATTGCTTCGGAATTTTTTCCGCCACTGTTAAACTACATAAGTTCCCAGTTTGGTGAATTAAATTGCCCACGGGACTCATCCTTAATTCGATTTGACACCTCAGTGCATATTTTTTCCCTTCATCTCCTACCATTTTGTTTTGAGTGAGCGATTTATTCGCAATTCGCATAGTAATTGGGTCTGAGGTACCTACAAATAAAGTAATTCGCTCTTAAAATTTTTCAAGGCGAATTACATAATTCGAAGGGTAATTGGCGAATTACGAATGGGAGAGCGAACCACGTACCAATCGTCGTATTATTCCTAATCAGTCTTATCATGAGTTTAATTTTCGCCCAAATAGGCATCGATACTTTAGATACGATATTTTCCAGGTATCGATACTTTCTTTCGATATTAGCCTTTCATCACTACCTTAAACTGGGTTTTATTCAAAGAAACATTTTTATAACTAACTAATCACTCTGAGCTTTAACTTTAGCTCTGCATTAATTTTGAAAGCACTCCTTAAAAATGTTACTAAAGAGCATATTCTTTCATGCAATTTTTCTGCAGGGATTATTATTATGCTTCTCGTCACCAAGCATCACCTGTGGCTCTGATGCGCATTAGTGCTGACGATGCACTCCAATTTTGTTGCTTGATTGCACGTTTTATTAGCGCAACGAATAATACAGGACAACTTAAGCGACTGCCGCCATCAAGGCATGTCAAGCGTATGTATATATGTGCATACATATTTATTTTAATAAACGAGGGGAATGGNTTGATGTGATGCGATGTGATGACATGTGATGTAACTAGCGGAAGTTTATTGCTATCTCGAAGTTAAATTTTGCGCTACCTGAAAAAATACTAACTTTGACAGCATGTTAAACGTATGTAAATACATGCATACATACATACATACATACGTAAACTATGTACATTTAATTTTATGTCATTCATTTTATGGAAAGTACTCTTATTTATTTTAATAGCTGATATTTTGTGCGCTTATTTTTGAGGGAAACTATGCTCTTTCTGAAAAATTTTTTGAAGACAGACAAGATTGTAATTAATGGCAATTTTATGATTAAAAAATACCGCCTAAAGGAGTTCTGTTCAGAAATGGACTAGAAAAGAATTTAATTTGCTTTTAAATTTTGCACTTTTGGTGAGAGGCCTCCTAAACATACATTTAGCTCAAAAGCCATTAATCGGCTCGTTGGCTTTTGCAAAAATAAAAAAAAAACGGTTTAAAATTGATATCTGATCGAAATATTTTGTTTGAGTACTAGTAAAATCTTCTGAGGTTTACTTTTGTATTTTCAATCAATGCACCATTTGCTTCAACTCTAATTTTGAGACCTTACACAAAAGTGGAAGCGAGTGGCAGCTGGAGGGTTAAAATATTCCAGAAAATTATTCCTCCAACTAACTTTTATACGATAAGCGGAAAGGTAAAAAAAAAACACAAAATATCGAAGAATTGAAAAAATATTACCTGAAATATGCAACGTTTTCTAAACATTGTGATCAACAGGGCAATTCTGGCAACTGTCTTTCAACTCACCACAGTCTTTTGAAAGACAAAAGTCTTTCGTAAGACAGTTGTCAATTGTGGCAACTATCTTGAAAGCTCTTTACTGTCGTTCGAAAGGCTAATTGAAAGATCTGCTAACGAGGAGATCTTAGCGTTATGCCTTTTAGCATTCATTTTTTTAAAAAGTACATGAAATAAAAAAAATTTATATATATATTTTTCTTTTTAAAACAATAATAATTAATAAATAAAAGAAAATTAAATTCTTATTTAAAAAAAGACAGGAATTAAAAAAAATTGAATAAGATCCAAAAAACGAAGTGAAAAATATTATATATATTATAGATATATATATTTTTCAAAAAAAAATGTATATCTAAACATTAAAAAATAAATGAAATTAACAAAATAACAAACAGCTACATTCAAAAGAGCAAAATTAATAAAAGAAATTTTTAAATAGTAGATTTAATTAAAAAAAAATTATTTTTCTTTATAAACAAATAATTCTAAAACATTAAGGGAAAATTTAACTATAAACTAAAAAAGAAAAAAATTTAAAAAAGAAAAAATAAAATAACTTCCTAAAAACTAAATGACATTAAAACAAGTAATTTTTAGCAAAAAAAAAACCGACTTCAACTTTCATATAAAAAAATATATATATATATATCTCATGATCCACTGATCGGATCTTTACCAGTATGGGACCACCTCTGAGACACTACCTTTCCGATGCAAAAAGAATTACCGAAATTTTTTGACGTGGTCCAAAGTTATGCGGTAACATACATAAAAAAAAAAAAAAAAAAAAGATTCCGACGAACTGATAACCTCCTCCTTTTTGGGAAGTCGGTTAAAAATAACCAAGCCATTACTAACATAATTATATTCATTACATTAAAAAATATATATGGGAAGTTCAATACCAAATGGACGTCTGCCCAAAATTCTATGGAGCTCTGCCCAAAATTCTATGCGGTAGAAATTAACACAAAGCATTTCAAAAGAATCGTAAATTTACAATATGGCGGAAGATTTTTTTTTTTTAATTTATCAGATTCACTTAGAATTCTTCACTCTTGGGGTACCGGGGTCGCTGATTATGCAATTGAAGTCAGGTTGAAAAAATGGGGACAAAAAAATCAAAATCGATTGCATTCGCTTAAAATTTTGAAAGTAATGATTAAGACGTACGTACATGGCGTATGAGTAACATTCCCATCTGGTCTGGGTTACTCATACGCCATGTACGTATGTTAGATTTTTCTATCTATCTATTTTAGTTTTAAATGAATCTAATCGATTTAGATTCTTTTGTCTGCTATATTGGGTCCGCCATTTTGAAGATTTCCAATCCGACTTCAGATTCGTAATTGGCAATCCTTAACCTGATTGAATAACAAAATTGTGATGCTATATTGGTGATCAGACATTAAAATCCGTCTTGCCCTTATAGCTGACAACTGTTTTAACAAACTGTATGACAAATTTATTTACACAATTATGGACATGACATTTTCTAAGGGTCGCAGCATTTACCTAATACCGAATATTAAATTCTTCCAGATTTTATTTGATGCTTTTNAAATTTATTTACACAATTATGGACATGACATTTTCTAAGGGTCGCAGCATTTACCTAATACCGAATATTAAATTCTTCCAGATTTTATTTGATGCTTTTGACATGCTTTATGTTAATTTCTATCCCAAAGAATTTTGGGCAGAGCTTTGGTCCCTTTAACATGGAACGTCCCATTTTTCCTGGAAAATTTTACTATATTCATACATATGCATATATCCGAGCAAACACTTTCATTCGAATATGATTTTTAACACTTTTTTAATTTTTCAAAAATCATTGTGTCCGGTCAATAACGCCTCATATCTTTCATAATACCCGATCAAATTGAATGATTGAAACGCCATTTTGAAGGCCAGCTTTACTGATTGAAGTAAAAACAAAAACTTTTAGGGTTGCCACCTGCCTAAGCTGACCTATATATTTATAAAACAAAGTTGCTTACGCAATACTAAGCATAGCTCTAGAATGGATTGTCCTATGTGAGATCGTTGGAGGGTTGCAAGAACTTCGTCACGGACACAACGCTTTCATTAAGTTATTTAAAATGGCAATGGAAGATATGCCTTCCGAGGACCACAAAACGTAAATCAGGGCAGATAAATGTGCCACTGGAAGGCGAGACGTAGTTTTAACTTATTTGTTTAGTGAAACTGCGAATATGGTAACACTGCTCATTTCCGAAGATAATATGCCAGCTTTGAAATTCTACTGAGAATCACTTATGCCAAGAAGTGACTGAGTAATTAATTGAGGAGTAAAGTATACTCCCGATGAAACCCCTGCGGGAGCATGGACAATGACGTCAGTTGACAAAGCGCCTCTTGGGGGGCTTGAGAAAAATATTCTGTAAAGGATTTGGCGCTTTTTAGGAGTTGGTAATGGCGAATAACGCAGACGATGGTCAATGCGGTACCTGCTGTCCCCGTTGGAGGCAGAGGACAGCTTTTTCGGCATTCGAGAGACCAAGTAACGATGGGCTTGGTTGCATTACGAATTTCGAGCTGGCGAGCTTTAAAAAAAAATGTTAGTAAAAAAATGTATTTAATATTTTTTTTTTAATATTGACATACTTATTTAATACAAGTAATTATTTCTCTTAATACTCTTTCTATAATTCGACAATTTAACTGCACCTGTATCTACTACTTTTTAAACTTTTTCAGAGATTGGCATTTCTCAAAGAAAATGAAATATTTATGCGATGCAAGTCTGATGACCCAAATACGTCGACAAGTTTCGTGCGCGAAAAAAAACCCTATTTTTCACAATTCACCATTCAACTATCTAACTACATGTATTTCTTTTTTCTCATAAAATCTTTTTTCGCACACATGCAAACGGGTGCAAACAAAGTCAACCGAAGTTTAGTTGGCGTGACATTTTATCCATATTTTTGCAAACTTTATGCCGGCTGAATCTTTCTTTCGTTTTTTCTTTTTTTTTTTGTTTGTTGCATATCTAACGCCTGCTTGAGTTACTCAGAGGAACTTTGGCAACTTTTACATATCCATACAACGTTAACCGAGCATTTCGATGAAATTTATTTGAGGCAAGTAGTAGATATCTCGTTGAGATAACTAAAAATGAAAAAAAAAAACATAAAGTGGTGCTTCGGCGGATTGTAAGACTCATTGTTGTTGTTGTTGCAAATGGTAATATTTTTTGGCGGTAGTTCGGTTGTGCCAGAAGTTAAGTTGCATCGTTTTTGTTTGTTTGGCAGTGTGAACTTTTGCAAGTGCCAAAATAGGTACATATAGTTATACATATGTATGCACACACAAATGTGAAAAAATATTTATTTATGCAGGAAGGTATGTACGTACATTGTACATATGTATAGGAGAGGGTATTCTTTTTGGATAATTTTTGCTGCTCGCAGTTGTTTTTTTTATAACTCACCTTTCTAGTTTCGGAAAATTTACCCAATACGATTTTCTTTGGATTTATTATGCTTAAAGTCGCAGCTGCAACTTTGACTTCATATTCCGTATGAGTTGTTAGATTTTGTAATATCATCTGCAAAAAAAAATGCAAAAGAAGGAAAAAATAAGTAATGCCGAAAATAAGAGTGTATTTTTCGTTTTATATATGAACATACATACTTAGTCACTTCATACATATCTACATATATATCTATGTGAGTATAGAACGTATTTATGCGGTAAAGAGCTGAGTTGTGCAGGAGGATGTTCACATAAAAGAAATCAATGAATTTTTCTTAGATTTATAGCCATGTGTGTATGTATGGGAGTGAAAATTTGCACTTCCCAGCCACAGTGAGTGTGGCCCAGTGGTGCTTCTTAGGTAAAATGCAAAGCATCTAGAGCTTCCTTAACTGAGAATTTATCAACAGAGTCAAAACAGGTTATGACATGGAAATGCCTTCAACATATAATCTATTCCGGCGTTTAAGAGATTCTCCTAACAATATTCTCACCAAATAGAATTTGGACAAGTCCTTGCACACAAAAATTAATCAGGGATAATCAACAACGGTTATGTCTCGAAGTGCCTGATCTGGCATTACCACGCAATATCTTGACTTGGGTAACTAGTTCAGGTCCTAGAGAGTAACTTTGACGAGCCTGGATTGGCTCCAGAGTTATTGCTTCCTTTTGAAATAATCACCTTTGGTTTTTAGCCATGCCTGTACTGGCTGTATTCCAGAAAATCCTACCTGGAGAGATTTTCGCTTCTGCAGCTGGAGAGATTCTCTCGATAAAAAAGTTTTCTCTTTTAGTTCCCGGACTGTCTTTAGCTCTCAACACCTTGACTTGGCCAACTGATTCTGGTGCTGGGTCGTTATTCCTGAAAATTATTTCCTTGTCACAACAAAAAAAAACAAGCTCTAGAAAGCGAAAACGATCCAGAGTAGTGGTGTAAGGATTGCTCTTTGTGCAGTAATTCTACTCGAAATGATGCGCTGACCCTCTCTTCTAGGAGAGTTCCCCAACCATCCACTATTTCCGCTGCGTTCGCCATGTTGATATTTGAATTCACTGCCGCCGCTAAAGAAGTTTCATTTCAAAATCCTTATTTTGTACTTTATTGGGTACGTTAATCGACACTGGTGTGCATCGACTTGCAAACATTCATATTAATTTCTTTTATGTATCTCATATAAATTATATATCTTTCGTTGATTTTTGGCATATCCTTCATGCAAAACCCTTTCAAATTTCGAACAAACCGCAGTAATGGTGGGCGTCTGAATGTAAGTCTGAGTGGGAGTCAGTGTCGAAGAGGCGACAACAAGCAAAAGCAACTTATTTTAGTTTTCTGTTTTTCGGTTTGGATTTCACAAACAAACGTTTAAATTTTCAGTTGGTTTATCCGCCACAAAATATGCATGCAAGCACCCTCACAAGTTCACTCATTTATGCATGCGAATTACATCCCTGCAGCAATTCTAATTCGTTCAGAACTTGCGACGAGCTAGCTTGAAAACAGGCGGTACTCGTTCTTCATTCATCCCAAATCAATGTTTTGAGTTGCCTTTTTTTTTTTAAACATAGCGATCTTCTGCGAAGTGAAAACTGTCCTCCTTTGTGGAACTTTTTAACTTCGAATTTTGGAAATTGTCCCCCCCTGCTGAACTTTTGTACTCGTTCTGAGAGAGATCTGAGACAATAATTTTTTTTTATAAGAAAAAGTGTTCAGGATTCGAGTTCTTTTCGAGCAGCCAGTTTCGCATTTCGCAAGTTTTCACAGCTCAATGAGAGAAACTCTGGCCGCCAAAGTGTGGCGACAGCGCAAACAGCATAGCGCAAGTTGCAACTGCTCTGCAACCGTCGTGTAGTAGTTCAGAGAAAGTTTTGAAATTTGTAGCGCTCAACTAATGCTTTGCCAGACTGTCGCTAAATTTTGCTGCAGGGATGCTGTATTTTAAATGTATACGAATATGTGATTGTGGTGTTAGATTTAGCTGAATGAGATTTCACATTTTTCGAGTATTTACTATCACATATTGCGACTTGACTAAGAGTACTTTAAAAGTCATATGGGTAGGATATGGCTAGGACTGCCTCTGCAGTATACTATTTTGTAGAGATAACCAAAGTATGGTTATTTGTGTTTATTATTAAATATAAAGGACTGAAATAAAATGAAAGTAAAGTGAAAGTAAATTCTTCGATATTTACTCTAAGTGCAACTGAAATTTCTAAATCAAAATTTGTTATGTGAATTTTGTGGTTACCACCAGTTGTTGGTGCATTTACCGCATATGCCACACAAAGAGAATAGGGGAATACTTCTGGTGTTCTCTAATTCTGTACTTTAAAATAAATAAGATGCAATATTGTTTGTGTGAAAATAAGTGCACACACACATAAATATGTATATCATCCTGTCACAACTGCCCACGCCTTTACACCCATGCGTGCTTCACCGCCACTTAACTCAACACTTTATTGACTTACCGCCGTTTCCAACTCTTTCGCCGATGCATTAATGCGAATGTCTCGGTGTGAGTCCTGGCCCACCACGCGTGTTTTAATTATATAAAAATCAATGGTGTTGTAAAATTCGTGTGGTCGCCGCCAGCGTATGGCGATAGCATCCTGCGAGTGACACGTCAGGTTAACCACATACGGTGCATTTGGTCCGGCTACATCGGTGCGCTGTACAATTTGATCGGAGGGGTTGCCTTCGTTTTTCATGGTGAACGCTTGGACAATGACACGATAATCGGTGAAAGGCTCTGTGCAAAGAAAGAGGAGAAAAGAGGTGAAAAATATGAAAAATTTTAAATTGAAAAAATTACAACTACATACATACATATATATGCAGGAAATGTGTAAATGTTTTAATAAAACCGTTATTAAATTGATATTAAAATATTTTCATATCTTTGATGTGGCGCATAAACTAACTAACTACTATAAATGTATGTAGATATGTATGTGTACAATATAGTCAATGTTGCGTTGTGAATATTTATAAAATATATTTAAATTCATGCATATGTATGTACGTACATATCGATGGCTTAGTGGAAGACTAACCTATCTCCGCAGCCAGTTAGAAAACGCCCTATCTCAGGAAAATTTTCAACAACGTCCTGTTTCGGAATTTGGTTGAAGAATGCCCTATTTTAGAATTTGATTTGTACGAAGGAAGGACTTCTTTGAAACTTTCAAGATTTTAAAACAACTTTTATGGGCCGCTATTTACCAAGGATTGAAAAGTTTAAAACAGTGTTATTCGGCCAATTCAAGTAGCCGCATATCTTTCCACTAAATTTAATGAGTGAAACACTATTTTGTAGGACAGTTTCACTGCTCTAGGTGAAAATACAAAATTTAAAATAGGGTTGCCACATGTCTAGCATTAAAAGAACTAAATGCATATATATTAAGAGATCGCGTTTCCGTACGATGAGAGAGGACTTTTCTTTTCAATTGCCCACCAAGGCTTACATAATTATTAGTCTAACTGAAGTCCTCTACTTTTGTGGAATTATAGTGACGTGTGTATATTTTGAGGCAGAAGATACTTCGCTTTGTACTCCTTCCTCTTCCAAGTTTCATTTTGTCGAGGACAACTGCTATTTAGTTGGAGAGATGTTTTTTCCCAATAAGGATCCTGACATTCCAGGCTGTTGAACTGGCTAGTTTCCAACCCAGCATAAAACACGATCTTGGGAGACCAATTTTTCGTATTTTTGTGAAAAAATTATATAAACGTGGTAAAATAAATTGTCTTCAAATAGTCCTAACTATCATAGGAAAATATTTACATAAATATTTTTAAATTTTTTACTCCGTTTTCATGTATGGAATCGCTAAATGACCACAAAAACTTCACTTAAAAAATTCCAATTATGCGTGTAATCTAAAATTTCACAACAGCTAGCGCCAGATTCATATTCTGACAAAAAAAATCTCACAAGAATCAATTGACATCGGCTATGATGCACAAATTTGAAAAAAATTCGTTTGGATGGGCCCTGACCAAAAAAAAAAAGGAAAATGAGCAAATTTTAAAGAATGTTAAAATTTTGCAAATAAAGGTCTCGCTACCAAAAAAATCTCAACATTCATTACTTTCGATAACCGACGTGAATATATTTACCTCTAATAAAATCTGGCTACGCTGTTTAAATTAATTCGAAAATAGGTACATAAATACTTATTTCACCAAAACTGGATGACTGTTTCGAAAAACTTGATGTTCGCATTTAAATGAAATTGAATAATGGCATGTCCTTGATTGGTGTTAAGGTAAAAATATGATTTCGATTATTGGCGAACAGTGCAGCAAAATTTATTTGAGTGGGAAACAATGTGAGCATTACACATTCAGAAATATGTGGAAATATAGACAGTGCTGGGAAAATGTGCTTTAATACCACAAGCGCGCATTGCCGAGCATAGTAAGCGCTGAGTGTATTTAATTATTAAAAAGCAATAAATTCTGACAATGTCGTACTTGCGACTGACTTGCAGCTTGTTAAATTTGGGTGTGCTCAAATATGTGTGCGTTTTTGTAATTCACTTTTCTGCATTTACTGTTGTCGTTGGGGTTGTAATTTCCTCACATTTTTTTATTTTAATAAAAAAATTAAACAACACAGCCGTAACAGTTGATGTGGTCGATCGCCAGAAACCACGCATGCGCAGTACACTATGCACATAATTTTTTTATTTTTTTTTTTGTTAACTTAATGCAGCTTCCACTGTAGTTCTTCCAACGAACAGCAATGACAACAATTATACCGAGAAATGTCAACGTTAATAACCAGTTGCGCAATTAATTTAATGTTGGAAAATGTCACTCTTTTAATAAGTGTTTATGTTAAGTAGCCAAACGAGTGCACAGCGTTTGCGTGCGTGCGTGCGTTCGTTCGTTGCTCGGTTATTTAGCGTATGGCATGGCGTATGCGCAATTTTATAATCATTTGTGTGGCAGGCAGATTTGCAATTGTTGGGCGTAGGTATGTATGTATGTAGGTAGGTAGGTACATATGTGTGAGTGCTCGAAAGTGAATGTGGGTGTGTGTGTTTGTGTGTGTGCGTGTTTGAGTGATAAATGCATGTTGCTGTACATTTATTGCTTAATAATGCGTTGCCGACCGACAGTCAATGCCGGCTGACAGTTGTTCTTGTTTAACAAATGAAAAATTGTTGTATAGTACAGTTTAATGTGTAAAATGTGAAAGCCAAGTAAATCGGTTGAATGGTAAAATTCATTCGGTAATTAGGCTGGGAAATTTGGCTTGATAAAGGAAGCAGTAGAGTGCTGAATTGTTCTAAGCGGTGTGACCATGCCGTTGGTGGGCAAAATGCGGTTCCTTGAGACGCATGCTTCGCTTTATTTGGAAAACTGCGACTGATTTTGCTTCACTTGTGCTAAGTGCATTGAGGTTATATTTTTCAAAGACTCTGCCTATACTAGTAAAATTCGTGATAAGCCGCTGAATTCCAACTCCCACTTAGTAAAGCCCCAAAAAAAAAAATGTGATTTTTAAAGCAATTTTTTTATTTTATTTTAATCTATCTCACACTCTAATGAAAAGCCAAGGTAAAGGTAATTATGCACATTTTGATACTTTAACTGATTTTCTCCGACTCCAGCACTAGATAAAAGCTCGAAAAATAAAACTCGAAAACCAGCATAATGTCCATGGCAAAATGTGTATAGGAATGAACAATTCACATACACACACCACCGCACAACGGAGCCGTGTCCTGTTAATTATGAAAGTAGGAAAGCAGTTGTCAGAGCAGTTGAAATGCAACTGGTAGAAGTTACTCAACTTCGGCAGCATTTGAGATTAAAAAAAAAAATTATAAGCACATACATATTTATATACATATATGTATGTATGACAATCATATTATTGCCCAACTAGTTGGAGAGTCGAGCGATGTCTGAAAGTTAATGTAATTAAAATATGCGAGGCTGGTTTGTCACCAACAAAGCGTTTGAAAGGTGACAAAGAGCAGCAGAAAATTTGCTGTCAAATTTAAAATGTATAAACACATAAGTATGTGTGTATGTATGTGTGTAAAAAATGCAAGCCATACTCAAGGAGCGCAAAGTAAAAAATAATTTTTATTCCAAAAATGCGGCATAAAATAATTAAAAATCTATGGGGAATGCCAACGCGTCGGATGCGGCATTAATAGTCTCAATCACACATACATATGTACATATGTAAGTATGTATAATTGCAACATTACACGCCAACGCACATGCGTCAGTCAATGCTGAGCGTAATTAATTTTGACAGCGCTGAAAAGTAAACTACGCCTACAGAAACTAACAAAAAAAAAATGCGGGGGTATTTTATTAAATTTAAAAACAGTGTAATTATAAAATTACATTGTAAAGCAGTAGTATGTCTTTGTTTGAGTTACTGGGTATTTGGGGTATTCAGTACCTATTTACATACACACGTACGTATGTTTATATGTTAGTAAATATTTGTCTAAGTATGCAGTATATGTATGTAGTTGTAGTATGTACAGCCAGTCAATAAAGTTTTGGTACAGCGAATTTATTACAATACTAAAAAAATAAAAAAATAGTTAATTCTACAACAAACACCCCCAAAATTCAGAGTGCCAAACCTTGTGCGAAATTAAAGAATATTCTGAAAAATTTCATTAAAATATTGCACTTTTTATTTACGCTCTATAGAAAAAAGTTGGGTATGCAGGTTTTTAGGTCATGCAATTTTAGTATAATAAATATTTGAGAATTTTTTTTTGTTGAAGGTGTCGCACATTTTTTCCATAAAAAAAAAATTTTTCAAACATTATTTTATATGGAGAAAATAGTTGCCGGTATTGTAAAAAATTCGCTGTATCTTAACTTTATTAACTGACTGTATGTATTTAAAGGCATGTCGTTGGTAATTAATTAAACAAAATGCGTCTGTGTCAGCATTTGCCTGCCAGAACCTCGCCCACGCATACATCAAAACATCCAAATAGAAACGCATACAGCTCGCTCTGCATACGGGCAATATAAGAGTTTTCCTTTACACAGCAGTTACATCGCCCATACGATCCCTACTCCTCCAGCGCTTTACTTCTTTCCCACAACTTTTGGTTTTTTACTTCTTGAGTTTTTCAGCAACTTTGCTTTGTCGCAAATTTCGTTGCAATTTGTATGCACATATGCACATATGTATGTATGTATGTACATATTTCAGTTGCGCTTTCACTCCTCCACTGCAATGCATGAAATTGCATATTTTTCGGCAGCAAGCGCGTTTCACACACACACACACACAAGCTCATTACCCCAACTCCACTCCCATTATGCCCAGCAAGGCACAATGCATGCACTGACATGCAAAGTGACTTTTCTTCATAAGCGTTTTTCTTTGCTTGTTTTTACGTTTTCTGGCGAGGCAAATTAATTACTAGCATTGCTTGCAGTAGCGCTGCCTATGTACATACATATACGACGAGTATATGTGTGTTCTCATGTACGCTCACCACTTATGCAAATATGCTTTGACAAGCTGCCAAGTGTGTGTCTGTAAATTTGTATGCAAATTTGTCAGTTGCAAATTAATTTTTATTTTTCTGTCACATGAAAGTAAATTAAAATGGCTGCGGAGACTGGCGACTGACGTTGAAGGGCGCCATCTTTTTGCCTGTGCGCGATGAAAATGTGTAAGTATGTGTGCCGTAATTTCAGTTGTAGCAGACTTATAGGGGCTTGACAGCTGCAGCGCACAGTGGGATTTCGTTGGAAAAAATTCATTTTTTTTTTGAACATTTAATTCTTATAAATATTTGGATGGTTTAGTTAAGTCATTAGTTAAGCTTAACTACAGAAACTTGTATTGAATTTTCTGTAATTAAGTTTAACCAGCGATTTAGTAATACTTTAAAATATTTGAATAGGAAAAATTCGTTTAACTTTTTACAAAATTGACAATTTTATACAAAAGAATCGTATTCGACTAACAGCCAATTTCACGAAAGCAATTTAAGCGAAACATGTTTTAATTTTTGAATTTTATATGTAAATTGACAGAAAATAATAAATCATTTTCCATTTAAGGTGCTGGTGAAAGCAGCTGTAAAACTTGTTGAGACTTATTGTTGAACTTTAATTATGTATTTTATAATAAATTTTGTTGTGGCTGTACCACTGTGCGCCACTGGGTTGAAAAAAAGACGATGCAAATAAAAGTTTCCTCAGACAAACGCCTATGTATTATTCGATTAGTACGAGTACAAAATTTACTGCAAAACTATTTTTTAGCAGGATGGATGAATTTGTTGAATAATGCTTAACTATTTCTTCAACAAAATTAGTGACAGTTTTTTCGAAAATATTAACACCTATTAAGGCAAATAAACGGTAATAACAGTGCAAATACATATGTGTGTCGAAAACTCCATAATTTTAAGGCGCTTTTCAAGAAAACGCGTTATCTTTCTTTTGCTCTTGAAAGCAAAGCTTAAAAGCACACCGAATATTTCAACTTAACTGGCACCTAATCTTGTAAAGTAAGTTTTGCATAGCTTTTTTACACAATAACTTATTGGATCTTCTCCTTCAATTACTCTTAAGTCGTGAGATTGTTCACATATTTTGTATGTACCCACATAAAGAAATCCAAAGCCTTAGAAGAACCTTACTGGCTAAGCCACATCACCAAATATCAGGGCCTGTTGCTCCAGCACCCAATTAGTGTACTCACTAGGCAAACAATGGTTAGTCGGTTTGAGTTATTGCGTGGGGTTGACTTTATTTATATGAATGCCGATGAAGGTCTAAATTACAAAATGCACGCCCAGATTTTGCTAAATTGAAAGCATCGAGGCATCGTCAACACTTTCACTCACATCCGCCATATATTCGGTTGAATGGACAAAATGCCCGTGATATTGGGAAAGAGAGCTTTCACTCGTTTCTTATTGATGACAATTACAATATTTGCGACCGCGTAATAGCGACTTCATATACCACATACCACATCGCAGAACAAACTTACCACTCCAGACACACTTTTAAGCACAATTTGACGCTTACATCCTCACTACTTAACCTTTTTTCGGCGCAAAAGTAAAAAAAAGCTCAGCTCAAAGTTAATTAGCCGAGAGAACTAATCCAATTTATTGCGCTTTCGAATACCCACCGCCAAAGTTATAATCACATCAACGCCCATAAAACTTCATCATAAGAAATACATAAAAGAAGGGGTACAAAATGTGACATTCAATAAAACTTCAAACAATAATTACCCAACTTGTTTCGGTGACTGATTTGAAGTACTTAGCGCGCCTAAAAGTTTTGCTAAACAAAATTTTTGAGTACTAAGTACATACATAAAACGCTTGGAATAAAGTGCAAATTGAGCAACAACAATTGGTGAACCTTAAGCGAGTGTCAACAATGCCAATAACAAAGCTAAGTGCGCCTTGATTCAAGCATCCTTCGCTGTAAGGAGGATTTATAAAAGGGAAGGCGCAGCTGTTGAGAAATATCCTGCCTCTAAAATTCATGGCATGCTTTCCGGCATTAACAATTCATGAAATAATTGCGGAATTGAGTTGTGGATTGCGGGTAAAAATAATTGTAAATCGAAGTGATTTTTTAGTAATTAAAATTGAAAGTTTATTGGAAAGTGCTTTTTTGTGTAGCAGCGCGAAGAACCATGTTGGGACACACTTACACAGACATAGACTTCTACATGTAAATGGTAGAATTTTGTGATGGCATAAAATGTGAATAATGCGAAGGGAAAGAGAGTTTTTAAAGTTAGAGAAAAAGCTCGATTTTACACTTGATTTAAATTCGATTGTAATAAGAATCAGGCAAGGGAAAAACTATGTACTTGAGGGTGCCCATCGAAAATTTTAATTTTTTAAAGGTCATTTAGAGGTTGCGACCTGTCGATTTAGGTCAGAAAATAGGAGTTTGTAGATTTATGAGTTTTTGAATGACTATTTTTGACTCGATTTCAAAGATCGAACATGATCTGGAAAGAGAATATATAGACCTTTAAAATGGTATATAATTGTCTATTGTCAGACTAGACTTATTGGGATTTTTTATCTGGTAAATTAAAAAAGGACCAATATTTATCTTAATGTTTAAAAATTTGACCATCGAGAATTTCTACAATTTCAAAATATGGACTACTATCTAAAATTAAATCTATTTTCAAATAATCTGTTACAAAAAAAAAATATAAAAATACAAAAGCGAAAATTATAAATCCTAAAATTCTGCTAGAAAAGTGGATAAAAATTTTCGCAAGATGAACTTCGTCGTCGCTTTGGTTATGTGCTATGTCATATACTGTAGTGTGTTTTAATTTTGACAGCGAACTTTCTTCCAACGAAGTTCGCTCAGCGATTGGATTCTGTTCATACCTTTAGGCCAACAATTTTAGACACTTTTTCTAATCATTCTTCAATATACTAAATAAATGTTTAGAAATTCCAGAAATTCTTCATATTTACTTGAAAATAGTACAAAAAATTATCCAACATCTTTACTTACTTAAATTTGGCAGCTCAAATATGATGATGGTATCCAGCGAGTTGCGTGAATTCTTCATAATTTCTACACCAGTCTGATTCTCATGTATGTGAAAGACGTGATAGCCAGCAATGGCGCCATTTTGATTTTTCGGTGGATACCATGACATGGTTATGCTGGACGATGTCACATTCAAGACGGTTAAATTCAGTGGTTTACTTGGCACTGCAAAGAAAAGGAATGAAAGGTAGGAATAAGTAAAAATTTTTCAGTAGTGATAGAATATAATAAAATTATTTGCTTAGCAATTGTTTGAGAAGCACTTTAAACCTGAAATTGCTATTTTAAACAGGAACCGAGAATAGACGGTATGATCGAAACTAAATGGGGTTCCCAAGAATGCTCCCAAACCGAAATTAAAATGAGAACAAAACTGGGATTTATAAAAAATGCGAACAATAATTTCAGGACAATTTCTAAGAAAACAAAATGGGAACAAAACTCTTCTGAACGTTTTGGAAAAGAACTAAACGGAAACAAAAGTCAAAGGAACTTTCTCTCGAAGAACAATTTGGGAACTAAAGTCTTAGGAAATTTCTGACAGAGAACAAGGCCATAAATGGGCGGTTCACCCTAGTGATAAACGATCGTTGTTCTCACTGAAATTACTCTTCATCCCAACTCACAGACTCCCCTCTCAATCTTAACGTCAAGTTCTCAAACGTTTTTTCTCGTTTTGTTCTCTGTCAGAACTTTCCCCAGATTTTCGTTCTGATTTGATCCTCCTTGAAAACGTTCTCGATACTTTCGTTCTTATTTTGTTCTTCTTGAGAATATAGCCGATAATTTTGTTCACCTTTTGTTGCCGTTCAAACTGCTCTCAATACTTTTGTTCCGGTTTGATTTTCTTTTGGGAATGTTCTTGACATTATGTTTTGTTCACACGTAGAACTAAAGCAAAACTGGAATGCGTTCTTGGTCCCTGATTGCAAATGAAATTTTATCTAAAGAGGTTTAACAAATTTCTATATTTCCATATTTCATTTAAGTCTATAGCTTTATAGAACCTTACTTAGACTTAATGTTGATCTCCGAAGACAAAAGGAATATAAAAAGTATAAAAAGGAAATTAAAATTTTAAACTAAAAGTGGACACTTCAATCCACTGTAAAAACATTGTGATGAGGTGAAAAAAATTCTTCTGGTGGTTTGATTTAAACAGGTGTTATCTCCCCTTATATTGGGTGATGTCGTAACTCACTATTCTATACACTTAGTAGACGCTACCACATCAAATGTCACAAGGGCACTAATGTTGTGCAGGTACCTAGCCAGCAAGTTTTTAGGCTGGATCCCGAAGATCCTACGGTGGATGTAGACCATGATAGTACGACCGGAATTGACTTATACGGGTGACAAACGGGCTCTCTTATTTGCATAAAAAGCCTTTATTTGCATTAACGTATCCATTTTCCTCTTTTAAATGCGCATAAGCAGCCGAACAAGTGCACGAAATTTTTGCGAATTAGTCCGGATCAGGGGAATTTTCGATGACAACACGGGTAAAAACTGCCAGCGTTTGTTTTTCGTCAAAGTAAGCAAACAAAGCAAGCGGTTTTAGCGTCCGCGGTGGTGAGAGTTGGTTGCTACAAGTCTGTAGATGCTAGTAGATTTATTTAATTTTTTTATTTTATTCGATTTATATATATAATTTTACTTTATTTTATTTTCATTTGTTTTACTTTATATCACATTTTTTTTTACTATAAGCTAACTTAAATTGTTAGATTTTAATTTTGTTAAAAAGGTCAACAACAACTAACTGAATTCAACGTTAAAAAAAATATTGAACTTATAAAAAATGAATAAAAAAGATATAAATGCAAATTCTACTGGCCGTGGGCGTCGAACCCACGCACTTGCGGTAGCTTGGGTTTCGAGAACTGAAGAAGGCAGTGTTGAGGTGATTCCACCCCGGAATCTTACCTACTAAGCCTTACTGATTGGACAGTGACTTGTTAAATTTTATCCCCATAAGCAGTTATAGGCTCAATATGGCCGCCGAAAGAGCACTTACACTCCTGACCTCTAAGAGCTCTTGTAGACTTTCTGTAGATTTTAGGAATAGAAATGTTGATGTTTCCGACAAGGTACGAGTATGATGTAAGGTGGAAAAATTTTCCGTCATAGCTTGTCTAATTTGATGGAAAATCGTTCCACATTACACAATCAAAAAAAAGGGGTTGTGATGAGCGAAGGCCGCAATAAATGAAGTTAAAAAATAAATTAAAACTCTTTTGTCGTGCAGGTGTCGGTCGGTATCTGAGATAGGACTGTGGGAAGTGATCCAGATCGTAAAACCTCCCATGCGGTTTCGATATTCAGAAGTTGAGAGAGTCAACCAGCGTTGCCACCAATAGGTGGTGAAATAATCTACACTCTTGCGTGCTATCGCGCTCGCTCTGGCCACGGCTCGACGATCGAAGAACCCGTACTTGTTTAGGCTCCCAACGTCAAACATTAGGTTTCTTACAGAAATACCAACGGGACACTGGGCGTCTCGTCACAAGATCGCCAGGTTCGGAGCCCGCTATAACAACTTTTGCAGAAGCTGCAGAGATGAGGAGGATATAGAATGCACTTCCTATGAGACTTCCCATTTTCGGGAGACTACTTCTTCGAGGACCCAGATTGCTTAGGGAAAACTCCACTGGAAGGTCTGGTAGACCTACACAAATGAAGAGGCCTAAAATTTATTCCAGACTTTGAAAGGCAGATGCTTTTTTGTGTGTAGAATAGCAACAAAAATGGCTAAAATTTAAAAATCTTTCGATATTTTTCGCTTTAACCCCGACAATAGCTATGCGTTTATTTTGATGGCAACTGCAAACCGTTTTGCACACATTCATCGCAACAAATGTAGATTCTAAGAAGTGGTGTGCAACATTTTAATAACATTTAGTTGTTTGTGTTAAAAACAAAGCAACCTAAAATATGCAGCTTCAAACGTGTGTATGACTTTTGAGTGTTTCAGGCCTAAAAGTCATGGAATGTCAACCAAAGTGAAGAGTTAACCAAAGAAAGTAGAAACAAGAGGCTGAAAAAGCAACACAAATTCTAAGCATAAAATAACGAGTACAACAATAGATATACAAGTGTATATAAATTTATAAGAGAAAATCTACAATTTAGTTTCAGCGCTGCAATAAAAGTCAATAGCATTTGCTTTAAGGTCAGCGGCTGTAGAGGATTGTAGTGCATTGTAAACAGGATAAGGACGCACTTGACTATTGCGTTAAAAGGTTAAAGGCAAACGCACACACCCACACCCACACCCACACCCACACCACACACCACACACATAAACATGCATAGAAAAGTCATTTCAGAAAGCCTTAAGCCTTAAGCAAACGAATAAAGCGCCAAAGATAACAAAGCACACTGACAACAGGCTAGAAATATATCTATTTGAGAGCCCGAAAAATTTCGAGTGAATTTTAAACAATTCATTTTATTTTCTTTGAATTCAATTTTTTTTTTTAGTGTACTTTGGATTTCAAGCTGTGCCAGTTGTAGTGGCTTTGGCTGTAGCTGGTTAAATAGAACACGCCCACTAGCAATTTCACATTGGAAATGAGTGGAAAAATCATTGAGTTGACATGAAAAAGGCTGCTGTCAGAGGAATAATAATGAAGCGACACAAAAAGAATGCATAGGCAAGTGGTAGAGCGGGACAACTCTGAGGAGATTCGATGCGGATGGCTGCAGGCAGTGAGGGACAAGGTCACAGCATGTACATACATATGTATGTAGACAGTCAAATATAGGCTAGGATAGTAGAACTGCTGGTACGAGGCTGGCGCGCAGTCAAGCAAAGAGTTGTAGTCAGTGAGTTGAATTGATGAGCGAATGGAATAATAAAATATTACTGCATGTCATTGCATATTTTGAGGCGTTTGTCATTGAAGTTGTGTGTGTGTTAAAGTGCTTGCTAAAATTAAATTGCCTATGCTGTGGCCTCAGAAGAGACATGAGGCGAGATGAACTGCAAGCAGCATATTGAAAGGCTTTTATATGTATGTATGTATATTATAAGGCCTGCAATGAGGTTTGGACACATACATACCATTGCTAGAAATCAAAATTGAATTTTTTTTTGTGTTGCCAGCTCAACGAGTGCGCCTAGCAAGATATCAAATATTTAATCAGCTGTGCTGGTGTGTGTGTGTGTGCTTAGTAAGAGAGCAATTTTCAAATTAAATTCCAGTCAACTGTAAGATATACCAACTGAATGAAAGTTAGGCGGGGTAAGATGGCAGCGGTACTAGCAGGCATTCAAGCAAACTACATTTAAAATAGCAAAACGATAAAGTGTTGCACGTGAATGTGCTTCCTTTGTGTGCACTTGTGCTAGNGGAGGCAGGCAAGTCTACCTACTATACAAATGAATGAAAAATACCAGGATAACAGCAAAAGGCGATTTTAATCAATATATTATTGTGCACAGCAATGCACAGCAATGCACACATGCACACATATTCACAGTATGTAGGTTCACCTGTAGACACAAACATGCCACAGTCTGCTGCAGCAGCCCCCTGCCTAGATATGTGTGCTTTTGGTAGAGAGCTTGGTGGTCATCCGGGGACAATATTGTAAAGGATGAAATTCAGTTTTACAAATTGAACGAAGGCGGCAAATAAAGTAAGCAAGCGATTGTATTGAAAAATAAAACAAAAACTGAAAATTTTAGTGCAAAAAGCTATCAAAAGAGCGGTTTATATACATACATAAATGGGGAGATATATGTACATTAGGGTGGTCCGTAAAAAGTCAAATAAACGATTT